ATTCATAAATAAATAAATCTTAAAAATTGTCACCACACAAATGCTTTTCTTTTTTAAACTTTCCAAAGAAAACATGTTTTAAAATGTCAGCAAAATAGAACTAAAGATGCAGATCCTTCAGACAGAAGCTACCCTTGTTCTCGAGATTCAGAGCATAATTGTTAATGTGCTCATATTGTATTTTGATATTAAAAATTCAAGGAGCTGCAAGATTGCTATGCATTTGTTAGATTATGTGGCTTAATTAGATATATGTTTATAATGAAAGAAAGTTCTCTGAATATTAATATGCAATGGATTTCCATATCTTCTGACATCCTGTCTAAACCTCAGACCATCTCACATGGAGCATATTTGAGGGTATCTGGGAAAAGGAGGAAGAATTGGTTCTGCCAATAGAATGATGCTCTGGATTACAAATATAAATCAGTTTTGCACCATTTAAAACATTAGGTGGTACTTGTAAACAGTTCCAATTTTCTCAGTGATTGAAGTTTACTGCATTTCTTTTTTTGAGGTCTTACCAAAATTCTTATACATCTCTGTTCTTGCCATTACAATGTTCTTTTGGAAATGAGCCTGTCTCAGTTTCTTTATAGAGTTCCAAATTCATAAAAAAAACAACAACACCCCATACTGAGTTGAAAATAAATCATTAAAATCAGGATAAGCAGCATAAAAGAATATTCCCAGCTGTGTGCGCCAACTTTGATTTTTTTCCCCATTGTTTTAATATCTATAGTGCATGCAAGAATAGAAATCTCTAGGACGCACAAAATTACTTAGTGTTTGAATTTGTTATAGTTATATAAATTCTAAAAACTGAACAGTCAGCTTTTTGAAGAATAGTAATGGACTTTTATCACTGCTGGCATTACTACAAATATCCCACTGCTTGAAATAGACATAATATGATAGGTTCATAATTGAAATCTTATTAGCCATCATTTCAAAAAGATGTGTGTGTCAGATTTTAACCACAGCACTTTTTAATATTCCTTCCTATACACTCTTGAACAATATGTTATTACATATGAGACAGGACAAAATAAAAGCATTATTTCCAATGCTGTAGTTCTATTCAAAAACACTTCTGAGTTTTCCATCATTATAATTAGAGTTAAGATGTATTAGTTTTTGTATGTTTAATAATGTATATATCATAGCTTTTTGTAAATTCACAAGATCTTTTGCAAAACAACTACTTGTGCTTTTTCTCCCCTTCCCTTAAAAAAAATAATTAGAAGATTAACTCAAACAAGGAACGTTTACTTTCCTCAGCCACTTTTGCAAGCATAATCTACAAATAGATAATTGCATTCCTTTGCCCACTTGGAAGGTAGCCACAATGACCTGAGATTTTAAAAGTTAACCTTTTCTGTCCTGAAAAGGTTCCCAAGCTGTTATTTTAGCTGAATGCATATGTAGCAATAGCAACAGCACTTAGACTTATATATCGCTTTACAGCCCTCTAAGCGGTTTACAGAGTCGGCATATTGCCACAACAATCTCGGTCCTCATTTTACTGACCTCGGAAGGATGGAAGGCTGAGTCAACCTTGAGCTGGTGAGAATCAAACTGCTGGCAGTTAGCACAGTCGGCCTGCAATACTGCATTCTAACCACCGCACCACCACAGCTCCATGTACATGTCCCTAGAATTTCCTCTACCTACCTCTTTATATTTAATAGAAGGATACAACTTGCTGGCTAGTATTCTTTTTTCTTATTCTGGTTTGTCTCCATGACTAGAAGAACATGGTCTCCTTGGATCCCTCTCACACACACACTGCCAGGTAGCCCTTGAGCCTTGGTTGTCCCCAGGCTTTTAGCATTTTCCCTGATTTGTGCCTTGCTCTATTTTTGCAAGGCTTGGCGTTTCTTTGGACTTAAAACTCAGTAGTGCAATTCATTGCAGCCTATCTCAGGTTCACCAGCTAATTCAATCTATCAGTCTTCAGCAGCCAAATCCATCTTGCCAGCCATCAGTTTTTCTGTCAGACATTTTCCCCACTTTTTTTTTTTTTAAAAAAAATTCTGCCAGCACACTAGCTGCCCCCGACCACTTCTCCTTTGGGAAAAATTTCCTAAGGGAGATTACTGACCACTTCTGTTAACTGACTTAACAAGAAGCCTGGAGCCTGAGTGGCGTAGGAAGCTAATGCCTCCTACTAAGGCAGCATTTAACATCCAGCTGCCTGCAAATACTGCGAGTTCAATTCTCACCAGGCTCAAGGTTGACTTCCATCCTTTCTAAGGTGGGTAAAATGAGGACCCGGTTTGTGGGGGCAATAAGCTGACTTTGTATAAAAATATACAAAAGTATGAAGGCTATTGCTTAACGCCTTGTAAATCGCCCTGAGTCTCCGGAGAAGGGCGGCATATAAAAATAAATAAAATTAAAAAATAAAATAAAGATAGTGCCTGTTTAACTATGTGATAAGAAGACGTAAGGGAGCCATGGGCAATAGCAGGCTGTCACATACAGTTTCCTGGTTCACATGTTTTAGTCCTAATTTATAGTGCAAGGGGTAGAAAACACACTTCTATGAAATTACAAGATTTCCTGTGACTAGCATTTTAAAAATAGAGTTAACAAAAGGCATTTCATATATGGGTCCCAGTATTAACCCCACATTATGTAGTGACTAAGTTTGGAGTTGGGTGTGGTTTTGAAGTTTTTTTGGGGGGGAGGGGGGTGTCAGATTAATCCAAATAGCACTTCAGTTTCTTTGCCCAATGTGAGTTTTTTTGTTCATTTGCTTTTATTCTGAAATTACTAAATTGCTCTTTAGAGAAGTCTTTATCTTTTGCCTAAACCTCTCTTCTAATTAAATTATGATGTGGTGTTTTTGTATTTAAAAGCTGCTGCTGCTTGTAATCTATTTATTGCAAATATTCTTATGGTTTGATTTCATATCTATCAGGAGCAAGGAACCAGAGTGGCACCATGAGTTGATTAGAGAAGTTTCTTTATTGCTATTTGCCTGTTTACAAGAATCTTGCCAGACTGACTGCACTCTTTTCAGAACAACCAGATAGGGGCTCCAGGAATTTTTTTTTTTTAAGGAAATTTATATTGCTGCCAATTTGCACATGGCGACTCAAGGCGGCTTATAAGAATATAAAAACCTCATATAAAAACAATAAAACTAATAAAAGAGAGAATCATATAATAAATTAATATAATAAAATAACACCCCCCCCCCATGCCCTGGCGACATCACATCACATGAGCCATTTAATGGGCTCCATCCCACTCTGCGTTCCCCAGATGGGGGAATCAGATCTCTGTCGCTTCCTCTCCTGCAAGGATTCCAAGCTAGTCAGTCTCTTAACTCTACCCTCATTTCAAGCTGCATGATTTCACCACAATATAGATGTCTTTATTTATGTAGGAAAAAAAATCAAATATTTAAAGTTTGGATCAAACCTACACATTTGTATGAATCCCAGTTGGAAGGAACCCAAGTGGTCATGAATCCAACCCCCTGCACATTCTAGGATTGGCCACTCCATTCCCGATATATGACTATCCAACACTTCTATGATCATATTTGCATAGTAATGAGATTGTCTATAGACCAAACTAAACAATGAAACTAATTACTCATTGTTCCCATTTTGAGTGGGATGTGATGAATTAGTGCTTGACCCCTTTAGTTCTGATAACCTCTTTCCTGGGTGATAGATGAGAAGGCTGACTCTAAGACCTGGGAGAACTATCCGATCCTACAAAACAAATTCAAATGTATTGGCAGTAGGTAAGGTAAAGGTAAAGGTTCCCCTTGCACATACATGCTAGTCGTTCCCGACTAGGGGGCGGTGCTCATCTCCGTTTCAAAGCCGAAGAGCCAGTGCCATCTGAAGACGTCTCCATGGTCATGTGGCCGGCATGTCTAAATGCCAAAGGTGCATGGAACACTTCCCACCAAAGGTGATCCCTATTTTTCTACTTGCATTTTTTATGTGGTTTCGAACTGCTAGGTTGTCAGAAGCTGGGACAAGTAATGGGAGCTTACCCCGTTATGCAGTACTAGGGATTCGAACCGCTGAACTGCTGTTTCGATCGACAAGCTCAGCATCTTAGCCACTGAGCCACCGCGTCCCTTGGCAGTAGGTAACACCCATATAAAGGAAGGTAATCCTAAGCAGTTGCCCCATCAGTTTGCAATATTCAGTTACTAGTTTGGCTCTGGTACTACTGTCATGTGGATGTGTAGCTCTCATTCCCCAATGTGGGAATAAGTAACATTTTTTAGTACATGGTTTGTGCTATGTTTAGTTGGAGAAATTTAAAATTAACATGCAGCAGAAAAGGAACCTTCTTACCAACTATGGAGAAAATGCAACCATAAGTAATTCAACATGAGTATTCTGACTGAGGCAATCAATATATAAATATTTTAGAAAGTTGAAGCTTTTAACAATTACACATTAAATTGGAGATGATCACAGGAAATATTTTTGGCTAGGTACATGGCTTACTGTCAAATATTTGAATCCTTGGATTCATCTTATTTATTCTCTTTTGCTTCTGCCTTGTCCTTCCATTCAACATCAGTTGGAAGCTTTCGATCAGATGCTCCTAATAAAATATACATGGAATGAGAAACAAAGAGGGAGAATGTCTTTTTTAAAAAATTCACTGAGTATTTGCCCAAGGAAATACTCCTATTTTTAAGGGATTTTTGTAGCCTCAATTTCTGATTCATAGGAATCATGGAACACTGCTTTCTCAAACATCTCTCCATGCAAAAAGTCAAAGTTTTAATACATAGTAGCAAGTGAATTTTCACTGAGAACATAAACCATTTTGCTTCAGTCAATATGAATCATCACCTGTATCACTGCATTATGACTCATTCCTGAGGGCTATTTTCTCTCTTAATTTCATGTAGGCAGCTGTTTGCCACATCTGCTAAATGTCACTGAGCAGAGTTGACACTTCATTGATGTGATGTGCTTTTTCATAATAAAAGAGGCTGAAACAATAGGTGAAGACCGAAGTGGAAACGTTAATGGAAAGATGCTTGGAATGGAAAAAAATAGTCTTGTACAGTTCAAGCTATGTGCAAGGTGGGTGATTTCATCCAAAAGCTTTGAACACCTGTTTTCAAAGGGAGCTATACTAGGAGAAGGAGCTGAATCTTCTGAGTATAACTTGAACTGACATCTGAGCTGTCATTTTTGACAAGAATCAGGAGCTATTATTTGCAAACAAGACAGAGTTTCCAGTCCAGATGGCTGCTTCATATTCATTTGTCTTCTGCTGGACTAAGAAAGGAATCTTAATTCCTCTCTTCCTAACGTGCTGTTTTCTACATGCAAACTGGATGAGGTATAGAATTAGACTTACTTGTGGGGGGCCGCCATTGTGTAGCCAAAAGAGGTACATCTGAGAACGCCAGCTTTACATCTGCAGTGAATCTGTAGTCAGCCTCCAAGGATGGAGCTTCCTGAAGTCTTAAATATTAAACTGCCATGCTTGACAAAGCAGGTGTAGGAGATGACAAGGCTGAGCCCAAGGGAAGAGTCAAATGCGCCATCAGTCATGAGACCAGTGGTGGGTTGCCCCCGGTTTGGACCGGTTCTATAGAACCGGTAGTAAAGCTAGCGGGAGGTTCTGCCCACCAACCCCAACATTATCAGGAAGCTTCTGCACATGCGCAAAAGCACGCACCCATGAGTAAAGCAAGCACCCCCATTGCAAACCAGTAGTAAAGGTAAGTAGAACCCACCCCTGCATGAGACCCCTTGTGCCACAAGAGATCGAAGTCCAACCCACCTTGAATCCCTTCTACACTGATCTACCGCCAATTTCTTTTCGCTGTTAGTAGTTCAGATTCTTGTAGAGAGCTTAAGTTTATAATAAATCTTTATACCCATTTGAATTGCCTGGATCTCCCAATTTCCTTGGCGCTTGGCCCCTTTAGTTCTGATAACCTCTTTCCTGGGTGATAGATGAGAAGGCTAACTCTTAAAACCTGGGAGGGCTATCCTATCCCACAAAACAAATTCAAATGCGTTGGCAGTAGGTAACACCCAAATAAAGGAAGGTAATCCTGAGCAGTTGCCCCATCAGTTTGCAATGTTCAGTTACTAGTTTGAGTTCGATACTACTGTCGTGTGGGTGTGGAGCTCTCATTCCTCAATGTGGGAATAAATGATAATCAGACAAAGTTAGGAAGAGGGTCCTTGCCTGGGATAGATTTCTGTGAAGGGAATGAAAGACTCAGGTGACATTCCCAAATATTCCTCATATTTAAAAGGGGAGGGCGGCAGTGAGCCAGCATCAATGTTTCAGATAAATGATCATCTGAGAAAATGGTTTTGAAGGAAAGCCTCAGTTTGCAGCAAATTGCCTTCCTTTCTTTGATGTTTATGAACAGACCTTGGTTATCCAGAGATATATGTTTGTGTGTTTGGCAGAAACCCAGTGAATTTGTCCAACATTCTGCTGGTTAGTACATATTTTCATGAACATATATAGGCATGCCAATTGCTGTCCTATTCAGACTAAAAAACAACTTGGCTGGACCTTGGTGTCAATGTTGGGTTGCAGTTGTAAAATTTTTGTGACAGAGGCTTTCTTCTATGTATTAAACAGGACATCTCAATTCATAAGTTTAATTTTGTTGGAGTAGTTGTTTCTGCTCCACAATTGTGCAAAGTTGTGTTAGCGTCACCAGCTGCTTTCCTGTATTGAAGTTTGAATTAATTACATTACAAGTACTTTGTGGTTCATTGTTACCAAAATATTTTATGCTGTTTCTCCTCTCCGTAGCTTATCCAGTGAAGGATAATACCCTATGAATCCGAAGAAAGGAATTCTCATCCACAAAGCTCATTCCAGGATAATCCTTACATCTTTGGGGTGACAAAAAATTTTGTGACAATATTGTAACAGGTGTCACACTCAGTCAAAGCATCTATGGAGATTGCAATCTTGCGTCTTTATTCACCATCTTTATCACTGATATTTTCAGGATTCAAAACTCCTGTTCTCTCTATGTATAGGGCAGATTGCACCAAAACGTTTATTTCAGCATGACCCTGAACCAGAATGAAAGCATTCACATTATTAGCAACCTTCACATTGTATTAGTCAAGAAAGGCCTTGCAAAAAAGATTTTTCATGTGCTATAAAATGACTCATAGGGTAATATAGACAAGCAGTTTCCAAGTGTGTTCTTGCTGCTGGGAAAAATAACCACAACTTATTAAAATTATTGGATTCTTAGGTGTGGCGTTGGTATTTTATTCCAGTTTACCCAAATAGCACCCAGCATTATCTGCTAGTATGGAAATTATATTTTTTTGCAACTGGTGTCTGATTGATATTGCCAAGTTTTTTTCTTAGAATTATGGGTGCCAGCTTTCCTAGCAAGAAAATGATGTCAGACTATTAAAAACTCATGGTAACGGAGATAATCTTTGCAAAATAGCAGCATATAGCTGCCCTATATGGGTTAAGAAGCTAAACAGGACTGTCCTATTTAATTCCTTGGGTGGGATATTACCAGGGAATTACTGGGGCATGAAATGTGATGGTGACAATGGCACCTGATTTCTGTATATATTGCCAATAAAACTTCAAGAGTTTTAGTCCAAGGGCACTTGAGTGTAAATAAGCCCACTTAGATATTCTAAAGCCCACCCACTTAGCCTATGCAAATCTCTTATTGGTTGTGAAAAAGAAGAAGACAGTCCTATATTGTCAGCTCAACATTGAAACCAGGGATGGCACCACTTGTATGGGAATTTTGTGTATTGCAAGCCAATACATCTAGATCTGTGTTTTTCAAAGTAGGGATCTTTCAGATGTGTGAACTTCAACTCCCAGAATTCCCCAGCTACAAAGAAGTAGAGGGGACTGAAAAACATTTTTTGTGATGAGTTTCAAGCCTCTCTTCTTAACTTTTGGACGGAAGATCATTCTGTGTCTGATTTATATATTATGTATTATTTTGACAAAGAAAAACAAGTCTGCTCATTTCCCCCTTCCTATGCACACACACATGCATGCACACTTATATATATTTATCTGATGATCTTTTTTTCAATTTGTATGGACACAGGATGATGCTGTACCTTTACTTCCAGGCCATGAAGCTTCTACCTACATGGTCCCATTTTAGAGAAGAAAAAGTCTAGCTATCAGCGAAAAAACTCTTGCATTACTCACTAAAAATATTTCTTATAAAGCCATTTCTACATTTTTCAAATTGGCTTTCTCCACTAATCACCATATGGATTTTCCAATTTTTTTCTGGAAGCACAGATTATTTTTCTTAATAAAATGCTAGGAACGACTAGCATGCCTTTGTGGGGTTTTCTTTTTTTAAACAGAAAGGCAGACAAACAAGCGTTCATAGATCTGTCAACAATATACGGATAAAGCAAAGCTTCAGTTTAAAAGTAATATACTGTCCAATATTGGACACAATCAACTGGAGAGTTTCCGGCTGCCATGTCCTGCTTATGAGGATATTTTGGTTTTTTTAATATAATAATTGTCTCTGATGGCTGCTAGAGCACAATTCTCTGAGGAGATCTACTCAAAAGGTTGTCTCAAGAATGCTGTAAAGAGAAAAGCCCATATTAAGAAATAATTAGGTCTTGGAGTTGCCCATCTTTCAGTTAAGTTAAATATATTTCCATTTAAATTACAGTGATTATTTGGAATCAGGACTTTTATATTTAACTATATACAGAACAGCCTGAAGTGTGTAAAATCTATTGCGCTTCAGTTCTTGTTGCTTGGTCGCTTCAGATTCAAGCGATCAAGTGGCAGGCCAGAAGGACTTCTAGGCTAGTTCAGAGCAGGGGTGGGTTCTACTTAACCTTTACTACCGGTTCGCATCACACCACGTGCGAGCTCTTCTGCGCATGCGCAGATCAACGTTGATGACGTCCGGGTAAGTGGGCGGAGCCTCCTGCCAGTTTTACTACCGGTTCTTGTGAACCGGTCCGAACCGGGGGCAACCCACCACTGGTTCAGACTCCTGGGAGCGTGTCTTCTGAATTCTTTCCCTGATCGATCCCTTCTTCCTCCAAACTGCTGCTGCTTCTCAAAGACACTAGATATGGTGGCTCAGGAGATGACACTAAAACTATTTGGTATATATTCTTGCCAGTAGTGCGTTTCACTTACCTTTGCAACCGGTTCGGAACTGTGAGTGTGTGCATGCGTGTGCTTGCTTCACTCACGCACGGCACTTCTGCGCATGCGCAGAGCGTCTGTGATGACGTCTGTGTGGGTGGGTGGAGCCTCCCGCCACCACCGCTACCGATTCTCCCGAACCGGTGCAAACTGGTAGAAACCCACCACTGATTCTTGCCAAGTGCTACATGAACGTGTCTCTATAATTACCAGGGTTTTGGTTTCATCAGGCTGGTTAATTCTGAGGATCAAAAAAATGAATGAGCTTTTGGCCTTGAGGGGGAAAAAAAAATCAGATTCCAAAGAAAGAAAGAAAATGGGTCTTCCACATAACTTTTTATTATAGTTTTCAGTATCTGGGTAGAAATGTCAAAACTCAGCATTATAGGATCTGCACAAACCACCGAATAGTTTGTTTCTATTCAGGCCAGTTTAGATATCAAGAAAACGTATGATTTTTTTTTTTAAAAAATAGGTAAATGGGCTTATCATTCCATCCCTCCTCTCCACTTAAATGTATTTAATTTTTTTTTTTAAATTTCTGATTCCAATGAAGGGGCAGGGAAAGTAGTTTCAGCTATGTATCTACCTGACCAAAGGTAGAATGGAGAGGGAAATAGAAGGAATAAGTGAATTAAAATGTCTTAATTCAAAATAAATCAGTGAAAACAAACCATTTAAAATGGAAGTCCGTTCTGAACTTTGAGCCCCAATGTGCTCCTAATAATGTCCCATCTTGTAACAGTAACAGAGTTGGAAGGGACCTTGGAGGTCATCTAGTCCAACCCCCTGCTCACGCAGGAGACCTGTACTAAGGATTCGAACCGCCAAACTGCTGACCTTTCTGATCAACAAGCTCAGTGTCTTAGCCACCAAGCCACCTAGTCAGGCTTCTGTTTCTTCCTCCTTTCTTCCTTCTGCAGGGTGGGACATTCTATTGCGAGGTTCTCATTTGGCTAACAATCCCGGGCATTAGGACCCTTGTGAAAACTTGTTTCTAACTTCCGATGGTTTTTGCCAAGCTGGAGCACCACGAGAAACCTTTTTCCTTCAAGGATCTAATTGTGTAGGCATCATGGGCTAGACTTAGGCATAGGCAGAATTCCTCTGCTACCAGAATGTCAGGGCATTTATTAATCCCATGTTTGGCTCTGGGACTAATTACCCTGGTTTAGAGTAGATGAATCAAGGCTTATCCTTGTTTGCAATAATCTGAAAAGAAACGCGAGGAAAGGTTTCTAATAAAACTCATTTATTTGTTATAAAGAAAATAAAACACCTCACTAACTAAGAAAAGTTAATTGTTACATTTTTGAAAGTAATTTGGGCCGGCTATCTTTCAGCCGGACCTTGCTGGAAAGAGAACAAAGGAAAGAGAGTGAGAGCAAGTGAAGGAATGTGGGTGGATGCGGAAACACGTAGCTTACTGATAAGAAGTTGGCAAAGCTACGGAGAGTCTGACAGTCCAGAAATAATGAGCTCAGCTGGTAAATAAAATAACGCAGTGACAATAAGTTCCCAGATAGGTTTTAACTCTTTGTCCCAATAAAGGAAAAAAAATTATAGCACAGTGTTGAAATGAGGGGTCCTTGGTCTGAGGTTGGTTGCTTTCTTGCGGGCGTTTCATTACCTGACATAGGTAACATCATCAGTGCTCGTAAGGAGTGGGGTTTGCTCTCAGTTTATATTCTAGTTACTTGCCCTGCCAGTGTTGGTGGGGTTGCTCTTGGAGTATCTGATTGGTTTTTTTAATGTTACCTTATTTGGCAGTTCCTTGATTGGGGTATTGTTTACTTCTTGAGTGTGGGTCTCGTCTTAGTCCCTCTTTTATTTTTTCACTTGTTCTCTTGTGCCTTTCTTTTCTTATTCTCTTCAGTTAACTCTGTCATGCTCTCTAAAATGCATACCTTCACTATGATATGAATATAATGACATGCTTTATAATTGCTAAGTTGCTCCCAGTTAATGATACCTTCTCGTCTTCTTCCTTCAGTGGTCCATCCTCCCTAATGGCTGGCTGTTCTCCACTTCTGGAACCCTCTTTTCCAAGGGTCTGACCAAAGACTCAGCCGGGAGAGCCCGCAGCAATGATGTCATTCACTAAAGGAAGCATTTAGTGGCTAGGGATAAATGTGGGTTTGTTTTAGTGGCATGTTTTCTATGTATTTCTGTTATATATTTTTGTGGCTTTCTTGGAGGCATTTCAATCAGTTATTTCTCTCAACCTAAGGAATATGTCAAGATACAACTCTAAAATAAATCAAGAGGCTTCTATCTGCAAACTACAGTCTTTTGGAAAGTAATTTCAGAGGCTTTAAGGAGTTATAGACAGGGAATGGGGTCTGTCTCTGATACTCTGATCTGAGATGAGGTAATAATGTCAGATTCAGTGGTGAAATCCAATTTTTTTTACTACCGGTTCTGTGGGCGTGGCTTGGTGGGCGTGGTGTGGTTTGGTAGGTGTGGCAGGGGAAGGATACTGCAAAATCCCCGTTCCCTCCCCACTCCTGGGGGAAGGATACTGCAAAATCCCCATTCCCTCCCCACTCCTGGGGGAAGGATATTGCAAAATCTCCATTCCCATCCCACTCTGGGGCCAGCCAGAGGTGGTATTTGCCAGTTCTCCGAACTATTCAAAATTTCCACTACCAGTTCTCCAAAACCTGTCAGAACTTGCTGGATTTCACCCCTGGTCAGATTTATTTATTTATTTATTTAAAACTTTTATATAACCGCCTATCTTATAACCAACTCTGGGTGATTCCCAATCAAAAGTAAAAAGCAACATAAAAAAACCATAATAAAATGAACAAACTAAGCACATGAAAAACATGAAAAACAACAAAAGCCTGGCGCCAAATCAGATAGTCTTCCATCCCAGTATTTGGAGGAGAAGCCGGGCCTTCAAAGCTTTGTGGAAGACTAGGAGGTTAGAGGCCTGCCAAACTTCAGCGAGCAGAAAGTTTCATAGGGCAGTGGCTGCCACAGAAAAGGCATGCTTCTTAGTTCCCATTGGATGGCAATATTTAGTGCAAGGGACTCAGAGCACGCTCACCCTATCTGACCTAGTATGACAG